GCTTTTAAAAATTGACAAGAAAATAATTAAAATGTAAAAGTGGAAACTAGATTAATATATATATATATATATATATATAAATTAAGCTAAATTGTTTTGTTATTATATATTTACGCAAGGAAACTGATTAATTAAAATTAATTAATCTTAAAGGACACAAGTAAATACATAATAGTACGCGAAAGTATATCTTTGTATAAAAAAGTAAATTATCGATAAAATTGAAACCTTTTTTTATATGAATTTTTCAAGAATGTTATATTTGAGAAATAATAAAAATTATTTTATATATATTAGATTTTATATATATTTTATATATATTACATAGATGACAAAAAAAGTTAATATATTTTAATTAGACATAGTGTTTAAGAAATCATCAATCGCTTTGTTACATCATTTAGAAGCTCAAAACAAAACGAGACGTAAAGCAAAGAGACAAACGCGTAGAAGAGTATACGTCGAATTGTAATCTCTGTAGAAAATATAGGCGCTGAATTGTATACGAAATAGTTACCTGTATAACAGCGACCGTGAATGTGACTACGGTTGCAACTTCCACCGGCGAATATTGATGGTTTACGTCGGAAATTAAGGTGCCGTTCTCGACTGACGTATTATTCGTTGAAAATGCAGGATTACTGTATGTCGTAACGACTTTGCCAGTCATCATACAGACGAGTGCAAAGGTACCTAATCAACGAAAAACGGCTATCCCTTATTTAATTCTGAATTAAGCAGTAATGATATGTAATAACCGAATAAACGTTAGAGCAAAATTTTGTGTTAATTTCGACAAATCGTTAATTTCCTATATCATTCCAACGAATGACGACGGCATATATTTCTCTTCTCTTTTATACTTTTCGATGTTTATTTTTTTTTTTTTTTTTTTTTTAATAAAATTCCGTCTGAGACACACGTACCCATGGAATTATGTCTGGATGTACCAAGAAAAAATACACCAAAACTGGAAAGAAGGCCATGTATATACCAACAATTGGCGGAACATTGCCCAAAATTGCATATGCCATACCTATAAAAATATATAATATTAATTTTATATATTGTAATAAAATAGAAGGAAATAATAAATAATTAATATATAAGATCAAAATAAATTTTAGAGCAAACAATGTCAATATTTGGAAACTGTAGAATGTGAATTATAGATACTATTTATAAAACATCAATTTTCTATTTTTTATTATCGTAATAATTAATCGTGTCACACACATAAATATGTTGCCAATTATAAATCGATAAGTCTAGAAGGAAAATCTATTCGGTCACATAAAATATCCAATGTGTATAACGTAACGTACCTTGTGGAATATGCATTACAGCAACAGTAATTCCAGCAACTACATCTCCCAAAATATTATTCTTCCAGTCATATGAGGAAAGCCAGTCAATCAAAGGTATCGATTTTTTTAAAAATGTAATTGGTTTGATACTTTTGCATCGTTTTGACACCTCATTACTAACTAAAATTATAAATTTATGTATAAATTTTGTATATCGATATATATATATATATATATACATACGTACAGAATGTTAAATAAAAAGTTTAGGACATAGAGAGGTAATTGTGTACTTATAACCTTATAATTTATAAATAAAAAATTTGTAATTATGATTAAAAAATTAATTTCATCAGAATTACAAGCAATTTTGTATTTTAATAATGCAGATGATTTATGTACAGTTTTGTTTGGATTTTGTATAAATTCTTTTATATAAATCAATTTTTCTAATTGTTTTACATATAAAAATATTATTGTCATCAAGAAAATATTTTATGAGATATTTCTTGTATATATGAAATATCTTATTCGAATACTGATGTATGAGATATCTGAAATATCTTGTAAATTATTCATGTAGTAGAACTTTATAAAGAAGGCAATAATCTTATCTTGAGCACTTTTATGTGTGGAATAATAAAAGGATTTAATTGATTTATGCAAAATGACTTTTAATTATCAAAATTTGCTTCTATTTCTGATAAATGTTTTGATCTACTAGATATTTTTTATTCAATTTAATGAGTACTATATATACTGTTATTCATGTTTAATTAAACAATAAAAAAGCGATTAAAATATTTTAATAAATTTTTTAATATTTGGTATATCTCTTTGTAAAAATTTATATAATGTAAAAAGGGAAGAAGTAGTTTTATCTTTTTTTATTTAAAGCAGACTTGAAAAGAAAATTTTATTAAAGAACGCATTTAACTTATTATTAAAAAAATATTGGAATTTGACTGAAATATGGGATTGAATTTATAATTTAAATTTAAGCTCGTAGCTTTCTCACATATAAATCTGGCATCAACTTTTCAAAGAGAGCAATGACCTTCAGATAGGAATTCTATCGCGTATTCTCTTCCAACCGATTTGTCAACTTCAATCGGTTCTACTACTATTAACGTAAAATGTTACAGCCAATATTTCGAGCAGATTGTCCCCCCCCCACTCCCCTCCCTCCCCCTCCCCCCCCCGGAGAAGCGGTCTCCCGTGAAAACACGCGAGCCGGAGTAAAAGGCAAGTGAAAGGAAAATAAGCAATCTACCCGCGTGAATACACACGCGAATAGATCTTGACACTTACAGATTCTCTTGGGCTTTACGTATTTGCACAAGTGATTAAGCTCGTCCTGCTGGTAGACCGGCCGTCTGACCGTCAATTCCGGGGCAGCCGTCGACATATCGTCGCTCAAGTAGTCTGCGAACGAGCAATAATTGTTGAGTGAGCTCACACTCCGCGTGCTCACAGTGCGTGTATGTGCATATGCGCGCATTATCGTATTATATCTCGTATTTTCGGCAGATGTGAACTAATTAATAAATTATTTGCATGCCATTTGTCATCATCGGACGATGATATGCGATACAGAAAGAAACTTTGGCTTTGGAATTGGTAACTTGTCAATCATCTGTCTATCTGTCCTATTTAGAAAATTTAGGGCACTGCATTTGGAATATTTTTTTAATGTCTTTTTCACAATGTTAAGACATAAAAATAGATGAAATCTAAACGTTGAATTCAAATAAGATACAAAATTTTAATATTGCGCATTATGAATGTGATATGTAAGGAAAAAAAAATTTGTGGAAAAAATTTGTTGATAACATAATATGAGAGATTTTCGAATAATTATTTGTACAATTATATGTATAAAAAAATCAGTGTAAGATTTAGATTAAATGGAATATATCTGTTTTCATATATATGTATAT